CATGCAGGACCTTCCATCACAGTGAGCATGCAGGACCTTCCATCACACCGAGCATGCAGGACCTTCCATCACAGTGAGCATGCAGGACCTTCCATCACACCAAGCATGCAGGACCTTCCATCCCACCAAGCATGCAGGACCTTCCATCCCACCAAGCATCACACTGAGCCCAGGTGTTGTAAGGAGGTGATAGAGGCAGGTTGAGGCCGCACTCTGAGCCTCATTCTGACCCGTTAGAAGGACATTACATCACAGCTGGATCAGGTTTTTATCCGCTTTCATCCATCAATCCAGGCCTCCATTGGTTCATAGATTGGATTCCACTGACGGTCTTTCTGTGATTTTGTTCTCAGCACATGCAGCTTTGTACAAAACATTTAACTATTCAATAAGAGTATTTCATTCATTCAGATCCAGAGTTATTGGATGTTCCCTTTATTCTATTTCTGTATATCAGCATCAGTGTGCAGCTGGATCATCAGGGTGAAAAGTGAAGTAGTGTTGCTTTAACATTTAGTGTTTTCTACATATTATTTCATAAAGTCACTGATTACTGGGAAAAATGGCATAGATATATGGCAACTAGAAGCGGGTCTGCAGTCTTTGAGGCCAACTGCGTCCCTGCTCCTTCTTCCAGGTCAGTCCCAGCTTTATGTTTTCCAAAGGGGGGGTCAGTCTAGATCAGGAGGATCTACCAGCTGCAGATCTTCTCCTGTCAAACACCTCAGAACATAAATCTGAGGCGCCTCTGCGCGTTCCCGTTCCCTCTAGGAGCGCGCATGTGGCGGGCACGCGCACTCCCGTGGATCTCCCAGTCAGACATGGCGGCGGACCCACAGCCGGACTGGCTCAGCTGTCTCCCTCCTTCCTGGAGTTACGGGGTGACCCGGGATGGACGCATCTTCTTCTTGAGGTAAATATGGCGCAGGCGCTGGGACGCGGCGTGTCCTCCGTGTCCTCCTGTCCTCCGTGTCCTCCTGTCCGCCTCTCGTCTCACATTTTTTTCTTCCTCCAGCGAAGAAGCGCAGAGTTCAACCTGGCTTCATCCCGCTACCGGAGAGGCGGTGACCACGGGCCACAGGAAGACCCCCGGTAAGCCGCCGCTGCTGCAGCCGAGGAAGGGCCGAGGAGGGGCGGAACGATCCGGTGGAGGAGGAGGG